AAATAATTAGGCAAATTAATGGAAGAGAAATCTAGCTGGGGCTATTAAACACAGAGATAAGTCTTTTGATTCAGAAGGTTTCCAAGCCGTACCTTCTGAGCTCAGGGCTGGGAGGGTGCTGGGGAAGGCTTTATATCCACCCTGGCTGGGCAGCGACGGGTGCCTGCGGCAGGCAGCGAAGCAAGCTGTTAGACATTTGGCTGTTAGACATTTGGCTGTTAGATATTTGGCTGTTAGATATTTAGATCAACTCACCTGTCTGTGGGTGCTGGGCTGGCTCTGCTGTCCTCTTCAGCTGAAACCTGTGAACCCCCACCAAAGACAACGTCTATTAGGACGGCTCTGCAACACAGAGACAGCAAATGAGGGCAAGAGCCGACTCTCCAAGTGGACAACAGCTTATACTGATAAGGAATATAATTTGGATAGGAATCCATGTTGTATAGTCAAATACGTGAATTAAAGACAGGATCCTTTTGATTAATCTTTTACCTTCAAGCGGATGTGCTGTAGCTCTATAGCAATTTAGCACCGTGCTCAGACTGCGATAACCGGCTTGTCATGCAAGCCTGAAAGAGAATTTAGGACAGAAATACTTCTTGGACAAAAAAGAGTTTAGGAATTAGTAGTAATAATGGATATCTTTCCTACTGTTGAGCAAAAGATCATCAAATAGCGATAAAAGTAATATAAATAGTGACAGTCAATGAGAAACAATTTTTTTCAGTCTTCTACATGCTAATGCAAACTAACAAAACTGCATTTTACCTGTATTTGTATTTTAACTGAATTTGTTGTATTTACAAGATAGTCTACGTAGCAAAGTACAGCCAGGGAGTACCTGTGTAGTGTGCTGTCATTTTTAAGCACTATTTGAAGGGAATAGCGGTAACCCCCAATCTGCTAATCCAGTGGCACGTGAGTGTAGATGTTAGTGTGATGAAGCTATGGAGATCCTTGGAGTTATGACAGTAAGAAAGGGGGATATTATCTCCTGAAAGAACATAATATACAATAATGTTTTATTTTAAGTCTACTAGGTATAAAAATAAATGAGAAAGGTGAAAGGAAGTTTAGTGACTGCCAGACTAATGAAAATGTTGACTTCATCAATGGCAAAAATCTGAATTTCCCATTGCTGTTCTGGAATTTGCTATTTGTTGTAGATGAGCAGACCTCAATTAAAGTAACTGAGCTGTCTGTGGATAGACTTGTCTGCTCACACAAGTTTGCTTCAGGATTAGACTCATTATTTGGACTTCCAGATCTTCAACAGTGCTGTGTGTTCATAGCGTGTGAATGCAAATTTAACTGATTTAATAGGGGAAAGCCTTTTTATAGCACTGATTTGCAATGTATTTGTTAAGATATCACACATGGAGAACAAAATTCCCCTGGCTTTACTGAGTTTTGGATCAGGTCCTTGTTGAAAAAAAAAGTAAAAAAAGCCAGACTATAACACAAATACAATGTTTAATCTCCAGATATTCTGCTTCAAACAGTGTAATTGAGTTCAATAAATCCATGTTTATTGTTATGGCCTATGCCCAGACATTAGCATAACGAAAAACATGGGGGGGAGGGGGGGGAATGTCATACATACATACATCCACCCATGCAAATATAATTATAATTGCTCTCTGTGTTTCACAGTAGACCTTTTATGGGAATCATTATGCCTATTCTGTCTAAATAATATCTGTAATGTAAAAAAAATGTTTGAAATAGAACTTTGTTTTATTTAGCATTAAACAAACATATCCAGCCAGGACTGTTGATACTACCTTGTCTATGCGTACATACACATGTATATATTTATGTATATCACACAACAAAGCTTACCTGCTAAACGCAAACCTATGCTTCAGCTACATGAAAACTGTTCTCACTAATCAGCATCCACTTGTTGCGCCTCCCTTGAAAGGCCCAAATCTCTTCAATGTACTATTTCACGAGCATCCCTTCACACAACAGGCCTTTGCACAGCATTGCGAATTCACGGAGGAAATGAACTCGTTCCATCCTCTCTGTGTATCTGCATGAAGCCTTGCACAATGGGGCTGCGATTTATTTGGGGCCCCCGGGTACGACTGCCGTACGAGTAGTAACTAATAACAACAGGCCACCAGAGATCACTGAGGTGTATTGGCTGTAGGGAAAAATAAAACCTGGTCCGCAATAAGGACATTCTATGTCCGCTTGTATGTAGAAGTGTAGTTGAAATGACAGGGCTTGATGAAAATCTTAGGGGCACCTCCTCAGTCTCAATCTGACTTTTCAAACAATAGTGATACAAATAAATTAGTCTGTGTTTTGTGGAAAAATGACCAAGATTTAAGATTTCCGTGAAAGACAAGTCATTGAAATGTATCTATGAACAGTCACCTCTTTTCTCTTTTCTCTTCTCTCTTTTCTCTTTCCTTTTTTTTTCTTTTTCCTTTTTCCTTTTTCCTTTTTCCTTTTTCCTTTTTCCT